TTCTTCCAAAACTGGAAGCAGACTGAAATGAGCTGCAAGGAGGACCCAGTAGTGAGGTGGTAGTTTCGGGAGCCCAACATTCTCTGGAGAGTAACTGCTAGTATCACCCTTGTTTCTACTTTGTCATCTTTTTCTTCCTCCAAACTTTGCTTTCTAGCTCCATTTTCTCCATGCTTTGGCCTAAATTTCCCTTTCACAAAGTAGTTCCCTTAAAGTATTAATAACTTAGGCTTATCCTCTCCACCTGCCCTTTGCTTCAACCTTTTTTCCTCAATTAAAGCTTTTGGGCGTAGCTTGAGCTTTTGATTGCCCTGTGAAGTTTCACTGAATAACATTAAAATTATCAGAAAGCATTAACATCCATAATTGAATATTCCCTGGCCTAGGTTAGGCAGTGTACAAAAGGGATTATATAGAATTGTTCCTCCCTTATATAGCCTTTTAAGGTTTTCAAAGGATTTGTCTTTAAGAACTCAAAATTCCAAGATGAAAACACATGAATGAGACATAAAATATGCAAAAGAAATATTATATCAATACGTGATGTGTCAAGACAACTACAAAGTTTTGAAATACCCAGACATTCCTTGGTGCAGTATCTTGGCATGCAAAGGTCTACTTTGGTTAAGTTTAGATATTTTTTTTTACTGGCTGTCAAATAATCTTGTGTTTTACCATTTTGCCTTGCATTTACCTAACAGGGATATCACTAATTGATTTTGAAGGTGGGGAGGGAACTGACATAGTAAACTATGGCACTTTCTGATTGTATGGTCTTCTCAATGTGATGAATTAGTGCTTGCAGAATGATAGCTTCTGCCTTTATTTTCTGGAACTAGATTTATAAATTTTTGGAAGGCAAGGATTATATCATTTTTCATCTTTGTATCACCAATGACACAATGCCTTGCATATAGTAAGTACTTAATAGACATTTGTTTTGGAATTAAAATTTGAATTAAAATTCAAGAACATTCCATAGGTCCAATTTCCAGCACAACTTCTCTCCAGTTATTTCCAGGGTCATAGATTTAAAGCTGAAAGGGACTTTGGGGTCATTAAGCTCAACACACTCACTTTACAAATAAAAAAACTGAAGCTCAGAGAGATTAAATGAATTGCCCTGGTTACAAAGCTAATAAGTGGCAGAGCCAGGATTTGAACCTAGCTTCTCCTGACTCTAGATACAGCATTCTTTCTTTTCTGCCACTCTAGACTGTCAACCTTTTCTTTCTGAGCATAAAATAGTTTCCATCTTCCTGTATTTCAAAACAATATTTATATGACTATCATATAGTAATTTTTTAAATTGCCAAATGAAAGTCAACATTTCTAGTCAAGAGAGGGATGGCCTGGGAAATGAATTTAATACTTGGAATGCGTCAAATTTAGTGGCTTATTTTTTGTTGTATTTGCTAATCTGCTTAGTATATAACTTGCCATTTTCAGGGCATTACTGGTGACTCCAGGATTCCCAGGACCGTGACAGACCAAGAAATGGAACAACTAAAGACACAAGTTATTCGTCTTCAAGCTGAGAAGGCGGATTTACTCGGCATTGTATCAGAATTACAGCTCAAGCTGAACACAGGCTCCTCTGAAGACTCATTTGTTGAAATTAGAATGGCTGTAAGTTATAAAATACTGCCAGTAAAAGACGGAAGAACCATCTTTTGTCGCTTTTTCTTTCTGATGCAGGAAAGATAAATGATGCCTCTTTCTGGTGGCATGAGAAATTTAAGTACAGCCTACTTGATGTGGGGAATTCATTTCCCTTTTTAAAAACTACTCTAAAATACTTGAGATGAGATACTGGTTGATTTTCAAAACAAGAAATGTTGGTTTGTTTTTAAATTATGAGCAAACAAACATTCTATAACTGAATTAAAAGGAATACATTAAATTAAGAACTATTGTGATTTGGTCATTAGTCTGGGCCAGGAGAATGGCATCAGATGTTTAATAGATGATCTTTATCTAGTTCTGTCAAACTAGGATTTACATGGTGTCAGAAAATTAAATATACTAACAGATATTACATGTCTGACACTTTTTTTCCTTGAAATTTTCCTGGGGAACATGTATCACTATAGTATCTAAATAATCAGCAAACTTGTTAGGCAGCAAAAAATGAAGATAAACTCTGTGGGAGCCTCTGCTCTATGCATCTATGGCTAGATGAGATTGGATGGTGGGTTTGAAAGATCCTCAGGAGGATGGATTCATTATCATCTTTCCTGTTTTCTAGGACAGTGTTTCCAGTTTTCTAAGACAGTGCTAATTTCTTTTGAAGGAAAGAGAGAAAACATTTGTCTTGCTAAAAAGCTAAAGAATGTGGGTATATGTGTAAAAAAAAGAAAGAAAGAAAAACAACCTGTGTTTCAAAGAACCAGTAATTTTGGTGGCAACCAAAAATGACAGTATAGTGCCTGGCAAATTGGTGCTTAATAATACTTGTTGATTTTTTTTTTATGATCAGCTTAAAAGAGTCTCTAAGGTATGACTTTAGTATAGTAAACTAAACAGGCAGCAAATAAAGCACAGTAAGTACTATTTGAAAATGACTTTCATTAATCAATACATCTAAACCACCCTAATTCAGATGATTTGTAACCATAAAATTAAAGAGATTTTATAACTCTCAATTTGAAAACTGAGTTAAATTTTGTACCTATTCCCTTTCTGCAAGTTACTGAAGGTTGCTAAAAGCTAATGGATTTTTCTAAAGAGCTTTGTTTGCTGCAAATAAATTGATAAATTCATAAAAACCACCCGCTACATCAGAAGTTCTCAAATGAAATTCCCTCTTTTGAAGCTCTCTATTACTAAGACACTCTTATTCACAGGTGAATAATAATCATATTGTAATTGTCATTCAAAGCTAGGATAAAAAACATTTTTCTTGCTTCAGTGAATTGTAAATATTGCTTAATCTGAAAGACCTCACACAATAAAAATAATTTATAGCCATTTTAATCTTTTTTGGAAGATTTTTTCCTTTGGACATATTGTAATGTAAATATATTTTGTGTCAGTGTCGAGTCTTAGTCTTCCCTGTGCCCTAAAGATCATGTAGCCCATACTATGTATTTAACAAGAACTGTCTTGGAAAAGACATACTACTCTGTTAACCTTACAGGGTGAAAAATCTGTTTCTTCCCCTTTGGTTACAGTAACTTTCATCCATCTCTTTTCCAAAAATGTAAAAGACACTAGGGAGGTGGGAGGACATGGCACTAGCATGTGTGCCATATTTGCTTGAAGGGAAAGAGGGACTTACTAGAGAAGGAGGCAAGAGTTTCTCTTTTACAAGGCCAAATTAATATCTTTACCTTCTGAGTAACTCTGCAAAAAGGACCCTAATTCATTGTAATATTGAATAAAAAGGGGGAAGTTAACTTCCATTCACTTTGAATGAATCAAATTTTTAAATACTAAGAATTTTTCATAGGTTCCTTGAATTGAGTGTCTTTAAAATTCTTGCCTTATCTGTTCAGTTGCCTTCATTTGATTGTAAAGATAAAGCATATGTCTTTGATGTCTATTAATTATTAAGACTACCTTTTTTTTTTTAATTTCACAGGAAGGAGATGAGACTGGAGCTCTAAAAGAAATCAAGAATGGTCCTGGGTTGATAACACCTGACCTCATTGACAAGTAGGTAGAATAAAGACTAGTTACTTTAAAATATATCAAAAAAGCATTATAGTGAGAAACCTTTTAATTATCTTGACTTCATCCTCTGGTGGGCAGAAATGGAACTTTTCGTGCATTCATACTAGTAACTCTTGGAGAATTTTCTGTTTAAATGTGATTTACTGTAACTATAAAAATGAATAAAAAAACATAATGGTATTTAGTATTGCCTTAAAGACCATCTAATGTATGTAAAAGAGAGAGGACCAGTTATTTTATGTTCCCCAGACAAGAGGAGAAAGGATAAAAAGGTGAAACAGCTCGCTTTCAATCAAGTCTTTGGTAGAAATTGGAGTAGAATCCATGTCTCCTAATATCTACATCAATGAATTCAATATCTGAAAAGATTGCATCTTGAACATTTGCCTCTTGCCCTCCTTTGTTTATTCTGCTCACACAGTAGGATGACTAAGGACTTTATAATCTTGCACATGAATGAGTTGTATTACTTTTAATGTATATTGGGTGAGGAGAGTGGTCTGTATAACCTGAGAAGCATCTTGGTTAGTGAAAAGAATGATGGATCTGGAGGTGGGAGACCTTGCATTTGAATCCTGCTGATAACATTTAACAGCTGTATGACCATGGGGAAGTCACTTTACCTAAGTTTTCTTGTCTGTAAAACAGAGGGAATGGTATTTAACATCATAGGATTATCCTGACAGAAGTATTTTTTAAACGTTGAAGTGCCACATAAACATGAGTTTATTATCTGTCCCAACTAAAGATTAGATGGGTGATGTGGGGACATGTTGGACAGCAAGGTGGTACAACACCTAGAGTGCTGGGCGTGGAGTCAGGAAGACTCATCATCCCGAGTGCATATCTGGCCTCAGACACTTACTAGCTGGGCGACTTTGGGTAAGTCACTTAACCCTGTTTGCCTCAGTTTCCTCATCTGTAAAATGAGCTGGCAAAGGAAATGGCAAACCACTCCAGTATCCTTGCCAAGAAAACCTCCAAATTGGGTCACAAAGCATCAGACACAACTAAAAATGACTGAAGTAGGAACACAGAAATATGAGAGAGCCAGGGTGGGGGTCAGGAGAGGGGCTTAATTAAAAGAGGAAATATAGAATGGAAACTCTGTTTTTCTCAAAATGTTTGAGTAGTGATATAGTGAACTAGTAGACCTCTTACTGTCAACCCTAAGTTAAACTACTCTCAATAATTCTTAGTGTTTACATCTTTCTACTAAATAAAGGGTGTCAGAAAAGTTTGGTATTTTATTTTAGTGTGTACATTGAATTATCTTAATATTTTAATGTAACTTGACAAATGCATAGCTTCAAAATGTGGTATTTTTACATTTTTAATATTCACGAAATATTTTATTTCTTGTATTATGCACCCATATAAGGGGAGATACAGTTCAAAAAGCTAGGTGCTAGTGATACAAAGACAAACAAAAGTGACCTAGGAACTTACATTCTACTGAGAGGAAAGTACACACATAGATAAGTAAATACAAGATTAGTACAAGGTAAATACAAAATAATTTTGGTGCAGGGTCTATTAATATCTGGGGAGAGGCCTCTTGAAAGTAGTACTTGAGCTGAACCTTGAAGGAGCTGTGTGCCACAGATCTAGGAGTTCCAAAACATAGAATTGAGAAGGAAGACCATTAAAGGCATGGAGGCAAAAGATAGTCTTCTGTGTACTGAAAACAGCAAGTTGACCCATTTGGTAGGAATGCAGAAGTAGTTTGTATTTTATTCTAGAGGGAATGGAGTGATTGATAGTGCACTTAATAAATGCTTCTTGATAACTATATTTTACCAAAGTATTCTGGATTAGATTAAAAAGGGCAGACTAGGAAATATAGTACTTTTGGATTTGGCTTAGGATGAATGGCTAAACTCGAAGAATAGTCACTAATTCCTTGTCTTTTTGAAAGATGTTCTCTACTGAAGTGCTACAGGGGTCTGTCATTGGCTCTGTGCTATATAATAGTTTGTTTTTTGGAATGAATTATAAAAATCTGCAAATGACATAAGGCTGCAACGCATAGGAATAGCTAACACTTGGATTACAATATCAGCATTTTAAAAAGATCCTGATAAGCCAGAACATTGTCTTAGAAGAAAATATTCAAGAGAGATAAATAAATGTAAACTGTTACATTTGTGAAGTTGATTTTTTTGAACACAGTATAAAATGAGAAAAGTAATACTAGATAGACAGTACTTTAATTTGAAGGTTAGAGTTAGTGTAGTACAAGCTTCATATTAGTCAACAGTGATGGCAGCCAAAAAAGTGAAGGAAATCTTAGGCTGTATTAAGAAAACAGTGTCCAGGACTAGGCAGGTAATAATTCCACTGTAGTCGGTCTTGTTCATATCACTTCTGGAGTATTGTGTCCATTTAGTTCTGAGTGACACATTTAATAGGATAGAGGGCAACCAGAGTAATGAAGTGGCTTGCAATCATGTCATATGAGGGTAGATTGAAAAAACTGGTGATATTTAACTTGAAGAATAGAAGACTTAGTAGGAGATATGACTTTCTTAAAATACTTGAAGGGTGGATTGTGGGAAGTGTGGACAAAGGACTTTTCTAGCACAGAAAAGAGGAGGAAAGAAGGCAATTTTTGATTTAAATTTTTGAGTAAATTTTCCTTCCTAGCTACATTTATTCTAAGGCACTTTATTCAACTTTTCAGTGACTACAAATTCCTTTGCTCTATTTATTGTCTTCTTAGGAACTTAATTGTTATCATTATCATTAAAACTGACAAGAAGAAAACATTTTACTCAGACTAAAATCAAACATTGTAATTAGAAAATTTTTTTAATTCCAGTGCTTTCCCTCTGTTAATTATTCCGTTTATCCTGTATATAGCTTGTGTTTTTATATATTTGTTTGCATCTTATCTCCCCTGTTAGAATGTAAGCTCCTTGAGGACCGGGACTGTCTCCTGACTCTTTCTATCCTCAGCATTTACCACAGTGTGTAACACATAGTGGGCACTTAATAAATGCTGATTGATTGACAGGCAATTATCCACATCCCATTTTGCTATTCTGTTAATTCACTATTGCCTAACAAAGATCCAGATTTAGCTTCTTACTGTCTTTATCTACTATAAAGGATCCATCCCTGGGGCCTTACTGTTCTTAGACAGCTTACTATAGGATTCCAGTTCCTTCTCTGGATATATTTTGCTTTTGATATGCCCTCACCTTTTCGAGGGATTTAACTTGTTACAGCTTCCTAAATCTTCACCTGTCTCTTGAAACCTAACCTGATATGTTAAGCCTACAGAACCTTTCTGGGTCCTGACTTGAGTTTATTAGCCAATTATATAATTACCAGAACTCACCCTTAGTTTAACCAGAAAGCCTTCTCTTTGCACAACAGATTCGAGAGAACAAAAATAGTGAAGACATAGTTCCAGCCCTCAAGAAACTTCATGTAGTAGGGGAGATAAGACACGTAACAAAAACTAGACTACAAAATGGAACTTTAAGTGCATAAGAGAAGTGCTGGTGAAGTGCTGTGAAAAAAGGGAAACACCTCCTTTGGCTGAGTGATCCCAGCTTGGCTGTTATAAGAGCATTGTTTTGTATTCACTTTGCTATTTCATTTAAAAACAGCAGAAGAGATTGGTATGTGATTAAAACTATCAATGAGTATGAGCTGATGAATGCTCAGTAGGATAGTCTGTTTAAAACAGACCATGTTTAAATGAAATAAGTCTATTTTAAACTATAACACTTTTACTTCCTGATCCAAATGTTTTAACTTTTTGTTCTTTAATTGTACTAAAAAGCAACACTTTTTCTCTGCATAGGAACAAATCAGTGGATGGGGCAAAGAATCTTTTGGAATCTGAGGAATTAACTGTTAGTCAGCTTCTACTATGCCTCAGGGAAGGAAATCAGAAGGTGGAAAGACTTGAAACTGCACTCCGGGCAGCTAAAGACAGGTATAAAACACATATACATTATATTTAGAACACTTTCAGGACCTCTTAATTTTTACAAAAGAATTTTTTTAAATATGAAGTACAAAAGTCTGTTTTCCTGTAGTAAGAATTGTTTTCTTTGCCTGATAGCATCATTGTGAGATTCCAAAGTTATACGAATGTGTGATTGTGATATGAAATAATTTTACTTTTCGATAGTTATATCTGTTAGCATATGACTTAATTGCATGAAAGTGAGACTAATACTATCACTTAAATATAATTTTAAAATTCAGTTTACCCAAAATTACTTCAAATGGAAGAAGTTTAATTTAGCTATTTCAACTTTAATCTGCTAATGACAGTCAGGGTTGGGGTGTTTCAGGGCTTTTTGATATTTTCCCTGTAGCCTTCCTATTAATCATTTTAAGATATAATAGGGACACTGATGACTAGCTACTAAAGGCTATCAATGTCCCATGCTTGAATAGCATGACACTTTTTGCGTGGCCCTCATAGGACAGAAGTAGGAACTTGTTAGAAGCTGTGGAGAGGAAGATTTATTCTCCATATAATAAAATACTTTCTAACATTTAGAGCTAAATGGAAGTATAATGGTCTTCAAGCAAAGGCTGGATGATACATTTGTTGGGGGAGTTAGAGAAGGATTTCTGCTATACGTACATGTTGGACAGGAGGGCCTCTGAGGTCCTCTCTGATTTGGGCCCCTATCACAAGACTCTAAAATGCACTTCCTTAAGAGCTCTACTTGGTATCTTCATATTGTATGATTGGTTATATCATCTCTAACTAGTGGTGAAACCAATGACATATTAGCAAAGCTGGAGAAAAAATGAGAAAAATGCACCTCCTTCCTTTACTTGGAGAGGCAGGAAGTTGTGGGAATGGAACATTGCCTATGCAGTCAGTATGCCAATTAGTTTCATTTAACTGGTTTGTTTGTTTTTTTTCTTTGTTGGGAAAGGCTCACTGAAAGATAGGGCAAGGAAGGAAAGTTATATCTTAAAATGATTGATTTAGAAACAAAAGAGCATCAGCAAATCTCTTTAAAATAAAATAAAAATGTTTAAAGTCAGAAAAGAAGCAAATTAATAATGATTTTTTTTTTTACATTTCTATTACTAAGGCTAATAATTATTGTTTGGTGGTGGTATTTGTTTTTCAAGAGATTGAAAGGTAGTTTGGCCTATGGATAGAGAGGCAGACTTGGGATCAGAAAGATCTGGGTTTACTGATAACTTGGCAGCTTTGTAACCACCTGCAAGTCATGTAACCTCTCTGACCCTCAGACAGCTGTACTTAAGGCTCAAAGTTATGCAGTGGTCAGAGGGAGTTCTCATACTGGCAAAACTGCCAATCCTTGATAGGGGATGTTTCTAGTGTTTCTTGGCTCCTTAGGTTTTTATTGGCCATGAGTAATCAAAGTGTATTTTAATTAAGTAGATCCATAACACATAAATTTACTAATTGTATTCTTTTAGCATGATCGGTATACAGAAGCTCTCTTACACAGATGTTATCTTCAAATGAAGTATTACCCTGTGTTGTAGCATGAAAAAAGTGGGGTTCAGTCCTTCAGATTATAGCCAGTAATCTAGAGCTACCCTTTAGGGTGGATAACTTACTGTCTCACCAAGGGCACCATGAGAAAGAGTCACCAAATCATCCTTGAATTCCACTTCCACAAAGTCTGTCTTTTTCTTGTCCCCAATTCAGCTCTGCATTTAAGAGTCAGAGTGGTTTTTAAAGATTTTTGTGGGCATTTTTCTGTCCTTTTCTCTACTCCCCTACTGCATCACAGCCACAGACAAATTGGGACTGAGAAGCTCCCAAACTCTAAGTATAGAGAGTGATTTTGATTGAGACTGGCTCTGGATTTAATATTAAATATATAATATTTATTATATACTTAGATAATTATAATATATTGTTGTGAGGATTAAATGAGAGAATATTTGTAAAGTACTTACTTAGCACAGTGCCTGTGACATAGTAGGGATTATATAAATGCTTATTCCCTTCCCCCCTTCCTGTTATACATTACATACCTAATATTAACACTAAGTAATAGCATTTATCTCTTCTTATATAGAATATATTTTATACTTCTTGACTATCACTATTTTTTTCTTTTTTCTTTTGGTGGAGTTTATCTAGAGCAAGGGTTCTTAATATTTTTTGTATACTAGACTCCTTTGGAGTCTGCTGAAGCTTACGAACTGCTTCTCCAGATAATATTTTTAAAGGCATAAAATAAAATACACAGGATTAAATTTATACTGAAATACAATTAGCAAAATATTTTTAGCTTCCCAGACTCCAGGTTAAGAACCCCTGAGCTAGAGAACCATGAAGGGTACGTTGTCCTCAGTCCTCTGTATGTGAAAATACCCCCTTGGTTTGTTGCTTCAAGTTTGATGTTCAAGTCAGAACATTATGTTACCTTGTGATAACTATTTCATCAAATTAAATGAACATTTGTTATCTCTGTAATACAACTGTTATATTTGTCTAAAATGTAATCACACACAGTCAGTTTGTTGAAATGGTATAAAAGCATTTTCAATAACATTAAGTTTCTGTTCTAAGAAAGAAGTGAGCCAGCTTTCATTCAGTATCTTATCAACTAAAAAAGCCTTAGTACAAAGTTAGAAGTAACAGTACTGTTTTTTATGCTTCTTAGGAAACATTAAGAATGAATGGGTCAAACAACAAATCATAAAAACAATCAATAACTTCATTAATTATTAGCAGTCCTTAGGGGAAGCTTTATATTTCTAAATGCTTACATGAATAAAATAGAGAAAAAAGAGATCAATGAATTAGGAATGCAACTAAAAAAGCTAGAAAAAGAACAAATTTAAAATCCCCAATTAAATACCAAAGGAGAGATTAATAAAATTGAAATTAAGAAAACTGTTGAACTAATAAATAAAACTAAGAGCTGGTTTTGTGAAAAAAACAATAAAATAGATAAACCTTTGGTTAATTTGATTAAAAAAAAGAAGAAAACAAAATTACCAGCATCAAAAATGAAAAGGGTGAATTCACCATCAACGAAGAGGAAATCAAAACAATAATTAGGAGCTATTTTGCCCAACTGTATGCTAATAAATTTGACAATCTTAGTAAAATGGATGAATATTTACAAAAACATAAATTGCCCAGATTAATGGAAGAGGAAATAAAATGCTTAACTCCATTTCAGAAAAAGAAATTGAACAAGCCATCAATGAACTCCCTAAGAAAAATTCTCCAGGGCCAGAGGGATTTACAAGTGAATTCTATCAAACATTTAAAGAACAACTAATTCCAATACTATATAAAATATTTGGGAAAATAGGTGAAGAAGGAGCCCTACCAAATTCTTTTTATGATACAAATGTGGTACTGATACCTAAACCAAGAAGAGCCAAAACAGACAAAGAAAATTATAGACCAATCTCTCCCAAATGAATATAGATGCAAAATTCTTAAATAAGATATTAGCAAAGAGATTACAAAACTTACCTCAAGGATAATATGCTATGACGAGGTAGGATTTATACCAAGGATGCAGGGCTGGTTCAGTATTTGGGAAACTATCAGCATAATTGACCCTGTCAACAACAAAATTAACAGAAATCTTATGATTACCTCAATAGATGCAGAAAAAGCTTCTGACAAAAGATAGCACCCATTCCCATTAAAAACACTAGAGAGCATAGGAATAAATGGAGTCTTCCTTAAAATGATAGATAGCATCTATCAAAAACCATCAGCAAGCATTATATGTAATGGGGATAAGCTAGAAGCATTTCCAATAAGCTCAGGAGTAAAACAAGGATGTCCATTATCACCACTGTTATTCAATATTGTGCTAGAAATGTTAGCAGTAGCAATCAGAGAAGAAACAGAAATTGAAGGAATTAGAATAGGCAAAGAAGAAACAAAGCTATCACTCTTTGTAGATGATATACTTAGGGAGTCCTAGAGAATCAAGTAAAGAATTACTTGAAATAATAAACAAGTTTAGCAAAATTGCAGGCTGTAAAATAAACCCACATAAATCATCAGCATTTCTATATATTACTAACAAAGCCCAACAGCAAGAGCTAGAAAGAGAAATTCCTTTTAAAATTACTGTAGACATTATAAAATATTTGAGAGTCTACCTGCCAAACAAAACCAGGAACTATATGAACACAATTACAAAAACACTTCACACAAATAAAGTCAGATATAAATAATTGGAAAAATATCAGTTGTTCATGGGTAGCCCAAGCTAATATAATAAAAATGATAATTCTACCTAAATTAATTTACTTATTCAGCCTCATGCCAATCAAACTACAAAAAATTATTTTGTAGAGCTAGAAAAACCATAACAAAATTCATCTGGAAGAACAAAAAGTCCAGAATATCAAAGGAACTAATGAAAAGAAATGCAAGGGAAAGTGGCCTAGCTGTACCAGATCTTAAATTGTATTATAAAGCACCTAGCATTTATTAAATGCTTTCTATGTACCAAGCACTGTGCTAAACACTGGGGATACATACAGAGGTAAAAACCATTCTTTGCCCTCAAAAAGCTTACATTTTTCTGGGGGAGACATGTAAATAAATAGGTACACATCAGACATGTAGAGAGTAGTTAGAAGATAACCTTAGGAGGGGAAGGCCACAACAGCTACAGGGACCAGGAAAGACCTCCTGCAAAAGGTGTTATTTAAGCTAAATCCTAGGGGGATTTAGGGATTCTAAGAAGTAGTATTAAGAAGGGAAAGTAAGTATTTTTAACTTCCAGGGCAAAGGCACAGAGACCAGTCTCATGTTGGAGGTACAGCAAGAAGGACAGGATGGCTAGATTGTAGAGTGTATAGAGGGGAACGAATTATAGGAAGACTGAAAATGTAGGAAGTGACCTGGTTTTGTCATTTGAAATTCCAAACAGTTTTACATTGGATCATGAATATAGGAAAAGTAGGAAGGGATGTGATTACAAAGAACTTTAAATGTCAAATAAAGGACTTTATATTTGATCCAGGGAGCCAATGGAATTTATGGAAGAGGAAAATGACATGGTCAAACTTATGCTTTAGGAAAATCCCTTTAGCAGCTGTGTGGAGGAAGGATTGGAATATGAAGAAATTTGTGTTAGGGAGACCAATTAGAAGACAATTCTAATAGTCCAAGTAAAAAGCAATGAGGTTCTGTCCCAGGGCTTGGCAAATTAATCTCCTCCAGGAAGGAAGAGCCTTACTGAGTGTGAGGAAGAGCCACATTTCAGGAAAGGCCAGATGTACATACAGAGAGATTAAAATAAATCCCTGAATATTACAGTTACTTGAGGACAGACAAGGCATATATTCTAGATTAGTTTAGGACAATCCTTGTTTTTTGTATTAGTTCTTTTTGGGGGGGGGTGATGAGGGTTAAGTGACTTGCCCAGGGTCACACAGCTAATAAGTGTCAAGTGTCTGGTCTGAGACTGAATTTGAACTCAGGTCCTCCTGCCTCCATGGCTGGTGCTCTATCCACTGCGCCACCTAGCTGCCCCCTGTATTAGTTCTTAAGCTTATTATATCTTAAATCTGTCAGCCAACTTTGTCCTAAAAGAGCAAGTCCATAGTTAGTCTTTAAACATGGTATAACCATATTCCAGTTAGCACTTTTGCAATTGTCATTTGTCTTTAGACCTCAATGAAAGTAACACTGAAATTTCTCAGACTTGCAGATTTAGAAAAGAAGGCAAGAGATCATTCTGAGAATGGCACCCAGACTGAGGAGGGCCCTGAAGAAGAAAAAGAAAAGGAACAAAGCATAGAGACTGTGGGTAACAGAATTCAAAGACTGTTTCTCTAACATATTTTATAGATTTGCTATAAGATGAATACTGCATTATGTTACTGATTTCATTCCTAGGATATATCATCTGCTTTGGGATCACAGACATTCTATTTTCTCTAAATATTTATCATCACTCTCAAGTTTTCTTTTCTTGATTTGAATTTCATTCTGTGTAAAATTCATTGAGCCAGATCTTCATTCTTGTAAATGTAGGAAATCTTGGCCCAGGTATTACAGCTGTCGGGCCTATGCTGAGAGATTCCCTGAATCTCTTAAGGGACTAGGAAAATTACAAAGGCAGGTCTTGTGAAAATGGGAGTTTTTCTTGAGAATTTAATATTTTAATTAATTAATATTTAATATTTTAACCTAATATTTGGATCAGTTGGGAGCCAGACACAAGTGAAATATCAGAAAATAGAGATAGTCCAGAAAATTTCTGGAGACTTTCTCCTTCTTGATTGCTACAAGGTAGAAGATTTAGGTAAGGTGGATATGTTTTATAAAGGTTTCCAAGTCAACCTAAAAGAGCCTACAAGCCAAAACAAGGAAGTTTTTGTAGCCACAGAAGTTTCTGTGGGATACAATAAAATACAACATTTAAATAAAAACCTCATTTCTGCTTAACCATCTAACCATGAAAAAGGAAGCCGAAACCCAAAGGCTTACCAGGAAGTCACAGAAGCTTCCACTTCTGCTAATTCAGTAATTAGCTCATTGTAAAAAATGATTGACTCCTCTTAGACTTCATAAAAGACATTATTTCCCTGTATGGAGAAGAGTCTTAACATTAATAGAGTCACAAAATAAGATCCAGATAAATAAGGGCTGGTTAAACAGAGTTATATTTCTGGAAATTTAAGGCTGAACCACAATCATGGTTAAAGTTGTGATGTAGTCATTTATTCTGATGGTAGAGGATGTGAAGGAAGGAGAGCTATTTCCAAAAACTACCTTTAATAAGTTATTTTAAAAGTACATGAACAAGTATTTATGAGGTATTGACATTGAAAACAGTTCCATGACTATTAATATCTTTATTTTCAAATTTACAAAAAACTGGTAGCAGAATAATTAAACAAATGAATTTTGTTTTATTTTGTTTTTTTGAGAAAAGCAAATCTGTAGTAATCACTTTTGTGTGTTTGAATTTTCTGTTGGACAGGTTGGAAGTGAAGTGGAAACACTGAACCTCCAGGTAACAGCTTTATTTAAAGAGCTTCAAGAAGCTCACACTAAACTCAGTGAAGCTGAGCTAATGAAGAAGAGGCTTCAAGAAAAGTAAGAATAAAGGATAAAGCTAATCTGCATTTGGAAAATAAAAAGAAACATGTAGAGTTAATACAGACCTATTCTTAGTTTTAAAGTCAGAAAAACCTCATGTCATAATGGTTTCAGGCATATATGTGAAAAGCTGTTATAATTTTTGATAACCTTTTATTTTTTGTGTGTGTGTATGTGTGTGTGTGTGTGTGTGTGTGTGTGTGTGTGTGTGTGTGTGTGTGTAAAAAATTCCTCTATGTGAGGTATTTTACAAAGTAAGGTAAACTTTCCAAGAAGATTATGTTAGCAATAACATTCAACTAAAGGAGAAGAGAAGAGGAAGAAGTTGTAGCTTTTTAATTGGAAAAATCTTTTCATTATGGATCAGTTATCAAGGCTAATGAGTGGTAGTGAGAAATTTAAAATGCCTTTATTTCTTTTTAAGTGCATCTTCTTGTTCTTTTGCATAGTGTTAAAGCTAGTGTTGAAGCTGATTATACTTTGTATGTTCTTCTTGGATTAGAGAAGTTTTCACATGTTTCAACAGCATTTTGTTTTCTAAACAATTAAATAAATCTCTATACATTACATATATGACATACTTTACATTTCCTATATAAGCTTAGAGTTTTAAATGTGTTAAAGTCACATGTCAAAAGTTTGAATGATATTTTATATATGGCGACAAGTTGGGTTCCATTCTGACCTGGGTGGCTTAGAAGTGAAAGAACTGTCTCCATTCCAGTTAAATCTCTGCTCTGCCCTTTTCAGGTGTCATGCCCTTGAAAGGAGAAATTCTGCAACCCCATCAGAGTTGGATGAAAAGCAAGAATTAGTATATATCAACAAAAAGTTAGAGTTACAAGTGGAGAGTATGCAGTCAGAAATAAAAATGGAACAAGCCAAAACTGATGATGAAAAGTGAGTCTGTCATAAATGAAAGCACTGACAAAAATGGAATGATAATAGAGTGGAATTTGGGGAATGATCAATGTGTACAAATTCCTCTTTTAACTACTGTACATGAGTAACAGGGAACTCTTCTGATGGGGTAGCATCGTTCATTAGGAAAGAAGCATTGGGATAGAGTGGAGGAAGAATTGAGTCCTACATCTTAATTTGCTGGGTGGAGCTATTTTTCCTGATACTTAGGAAGTTGAGGGAGAAAGGAGGCGAGAAATACTAACATGCATTTATATCACAGGGGAGGCATTTTGCCTATTTAGGGGAGAAGGAGGAGAGAATGTAATAAAATCACTGATTTTTTTCCAGTCTTCCAATTAATTCTTTTATTTGTTGAAATAGGTCCAAATTTGCCATTTTACAGACTACACACAAAAAGCTTCTTCTTGAACATAGTAATGCACTGAAAACAATTGAAGAACTAAAAAGAAAAGAGGTATTTAAAGAAAAAAAGTTTAATTACACAGAGAGTAGAAAGGAATATAATTTTCTGTGTTGATTGTGCATGTCAAATAGCTCAGTTGTTATAACCTCAGCAAAGACA